GGGCTTATCACAGACTGTGTCCCCTATATTTTTAATGAGCTCTTGTTACTTAAAAAAAACTCATGCACGTGCAATTAATGTTTTTCCCTTTTTTTTCTTTTTCAGTAAAGCCAGGTCGGATTCATTAAAAAGTAAATTAGTCTCAAACTTTAATACTTCACCTTTGTTTTACGTTCATGTGGAGAAAAGACCATTGTTTTTATGTGTGTGTACTTGCACCAATCATGTCTCAGATAAACTGTCAACAGTTGTATCAAAGACATAATTGTCCTAATTGTTTCTAATTTAGCTATTTGGAAGAGAAACATGTCATAAAAGATTTCATAAAATGTCCCTACATCCTTGTTTTCAACCAATGAACAGTGTTGCGTCTATGTGTTATCAGAAATGATCCAATATCACCTTTAGCCAAAATTTAGAAATGCTTCAAATCATTTTTCAAACTTTAATTGTCTGAACAAACCATTTTGTACTAAATGCAGCGTCCATTAAAAGCTGCAGTTCTCTTTCTAGCACCAGTTTCAACTGTGCATGTGATTGTTTTTAAATGATTAACGAGCCACGGTTCAGAGGTTGAAAACACTGCTTTAAATATCCGTATTACCAAGATCATGCAGTCAAAATCAATAATTCTAAACTTCTCCGCGTCTATAACTTTAAATATCAATAATAGTTTTAATAATAAAACTCATCTGAATCATGCACAGCTATACTACAATTCTAATCTTCTTGTGTCTCATTCTAAAGTAAGAGTAATTTTGACGATCGGCTTGTAATCATTCATGCAGTTAAATGTAGTGTTTTGAACGTATGACCTAAATGTCCTATATGTCTCTGTGCGTTTGTTGCCTGTCTGTATACAATACCTCCTGTCTGTTTCATTTAGGCCAGCCACATCCTCCTCAAACGTCCGTTAATGTCTCTTTCTTTTACTCATGGCGTCTTTCAATGTCTTTTGTCTCAAAGTGTCCAATGTTTGTCTCAAGTGTCCAATGTCTTTGCTCAATGTCTTTTTTCTTCTTCTTTCAACAATCACTTTCTTTCTTCTTCCAATAACTCTTTCTCACAATGTCTTTCTTCTTCTTCTTTCAATCACTTTCTTTCTTCTTCCGATAACTTTTCCTCATAATGTTTTTCTTTTTTGTTTGGTTCTCCGGCGGTTGGCGGCCTATTCTTCGCATTACCGCCACCTTCCTGTTTCGTGGATGGGTCGACACTCAGTTTTGTGAAAAAATCTGCGGTCTTTTCTTTGTCTATGCTGTTAGAAATGGGGCTGGAGGAGTCTTCTTCGAGAGTTCCTGTTAGCTGCTGCAGCCGATGCTGCAGTCTTTGGTGCCCCCTGTGGGTGAAACGGGGAGACGCTGATGGTCCGTGCTGATGGCGCCCGATTGAGGTCTTGTGGCAGACGATTTTGGCCAAATGAAACAGACAGAAGTTTTCTCGGAAAAAACAGACAAACAAGAAGCACAAACAAGTGTGTTAATTACCATACCAAACCAATGATTAATTACAATTCAAAATAAACCTATGAAATAATTAATATTAACATTTTAAACATTAGATTCTGAAAACCGAATTCTGCATTCAACTGCTATCCTAAGCCCTATTTTTCCAAAAGCATAATGCTCTCTAAGATCATTCTAACTTTTATATCACCAAAATGTAGGGAAAAAACTTGTCCAGACGCCTTGGAGATAAAAAATAAAACATAAAATAATGTCTCTTTATAATCTAACTCAAAGTTCTGTGATCCTATGACTCCATGTCAGTAACATTATCGTGTGTATAAATGTAATTTTCTACAAAACAAAAAATGTCTTTGGTAATAGTTCTGTCTTCACGAGAGAGAGAGACAGAAAGAGGGAGGGGAGGGGCTGAGTGGCTTCTCGAACAAAGGAACACATGGATGATTGAAATACACCCCCTTTTGCTACATTTTCCTCGTTTTTATCGTGATAAGGTTTTAATCAGTGGTAAAAGTTTTTCTCACATCAAACGACACTTTACATTTTATCCTTAAATACGTCAGTAATGGAAAACATTACCATTTGCTACCTGATTAATGTATCGAGGGTTCCAGTAGAATCCTTTTTTTTTTTTTTCTTTCTGATTCTCTGTAACTATCGAAACATTACATCACAATACAAGAGAAAAACTCCCAGACTGATCTTTTGTCATTTCTTCACATGAAAACTCATAGTTACAACAGCCAAGTGGCTCCTTCTTTTCTCATTAATCAGATCATTATTATCAGAATCCACATTTTAAATACTTGGCTTTTTTCTGTTTAAATGTACCCTTTTTTCCCCCCCCCCCCCGGGGGATATGGAGTTTTTATTATCCTATAACTTCTGACCCTAACTGTCCCTATTTTCTAATCCTATTTCTCTAAACACTTGTGCCTCTTTTGCACTTTAAAACGGTGTGCTTCTTTTGCACTCTAAACGGTGTGCCTCTTCTGCACTTATAAACTCTGTGGCTCTGATCCATCATCTATGTTCTGTTTTTTTTGGAGGGACCCATGCTTCCCCCAAGGCCAAAAACGTCTAAACCTGACTATTGTTCTATCGCGTCCGATAGAATCGCCCGTCACGGCGGTCGTCTGGCCACGCTGCAGTCCGCCGAGCCGAATTCTCTCTCTCTTCCATTTAAAACAATGTGCAGATTTTCAAAAGTAACGATCCGCTTACCTCTTTCGAAGAGAAGAGAGAAGAGAAGAGAGAATTCTCCCGGCCGACGGACCCAGTCTATATCTGAGCTCATCTCTGTCCCGCTCCTGCACCGATCACGTCGGGATTCACCAAAATGAAGCCAATAATTCCTTTTGACTGACGTGTCCACAATTTGATACAGAAATCAGACAAAAAGAGATCTCCAAGTTTAACATCTGCATTTAATTATCTTTACAATCAGATACAGGATATTCAACAAAAGAGTGCTCCTAAAACTAATATGTCCCTCTCCTGGCCCTCGGCTGATCCTCCTGTGTCTCCCCAAGCCAGAGCATATATAAAGAACAGGAAGGAGGGGAGTGTCCTATCAGCCAGCTTCCGGTCTAGGGTCCAGCCTTTTCCTCCGTCTGCCAGACTCCTGATGGAGTGAGGTTGAAAAGTGCAGAAGTCAGCAGGCCAAGACTAGGGGGTTGAAATCCAAACAGGAGAATCCATCTGTTGTCCAGTTGCTGGCACAAGAAGACACCTAAAATAAAATAAGAAGGACTGGCCTCCCACTTAGAGGTTAGCTAGGTCATAAAACATCGCAGCTCCCCATTGTTTGGTTCTCACTCTGGGCACCAGAAGTGATGCCTAGCTCTCTGTTGTTTAAAAAAAAACTGCAAATGTTTATTGAGTTGAGAACATGGCCCTAGAAAAATCTGGTCCTTGGGAGAGAATAACCCTGGAATAAGGGATGGTGCTCAATCTACCTTTTGTAATTTTAGATCCACTACGTGCCATAGCAGTATGAACCCGACCAAAGGAAACTGTTCATCTTTAACTCATCAATATGCATGTAATTGATATTTTTTGGGCTGTCAGTATTATTGTTAACGCACATCAATAATTTGTTTTCATTAATCGCACAGGACTTGTAAGGACATGTAAATTTCTCCTATGTGAGCTCAATAAAGTCTATCTTATCTTACCTTATTTATTCTCTGCTTGTTGTGTGTGTGTCTTTGCGTAACCTGCACATGCAATGAATACAACTCTGAAGATGGACTATGGAGCCTCAGTCTCCTCCGTGTCTTCTCCCGAAGTGCACTCGCTAAAATAAAGCTGGGGTACCTAATTTTTCCCTTGCACAACCAGTTCATGTTGGTTGTGCCCAAAAGAAAAATGTTGTGAGCAAATCAAACAGATTAAATGACATTCTGCCTTTTTTGAAATGTCCCTCATACCTGTAACAAAAATTGGTTTTGGTCTGAGTCTACTACAGAAAGACAGAGTGTTAATAATGTTAATGCCATTTTAAGTGGATTTATTGTTGTTAGAAAAAACAAATACAGTACATATGTACACTGTCATTAACCATGCCATATTTTCTGTAACCATTTACAGAAAATAAGGCATCATTTTGCCGATAGTTCAAAATGCGATTAATTACGATTCATAAATGTTTAAGCTGTAATTAACTCGATTAAAAATTTTAATTGTTCGACAGCCCTAAATATTTCATACGGTTATACATCACATTCAAATTGAAAAAGTAATACCAGGTCACTATTTGTAACCTGGAAAGTACTCAAACTGATCACCTTTGAGAAAAAGACAAAACGAATGAAACTTCTGATCTGCATTTGGATTTATTTATTCAAACCAATTATGGTCAGAATCAGAGGATTTACCTATTGTGCATGTTTTTTTCAGTGGTAGGGGAAACCGGAGCACCCGGAGGAAACCTACGCAGACACGGGGAGAACATGCAAACTCCACTAAGAAAGATTGACCTGTTTCGAACACAGGACCTTCTTACTGAGAAGCACGAGTGCTAACCACTGTGCCACCGTGCCGCCCTCAGAAGAAAAACAAAAAAAATAGTTTAGTCCAAAGTGACAACAGCAGTTGTCGAGGGTTAAATTTGTTGTTTCTCAGGTCCAGGCCGGGGAATTGAGGGTTGAGGCTCTCGTTGTTGCTTCTCTGAAACAGCCATTTGATATAAATTTGTCATAAGGAAATTAAGTAAAGCCAAATCCATTATGAAATATTGGACACTACCCATTCTTCTCTTTATCTTCCTGCGATTTTTCCAGTTGTTTGTTTCCGTTGATTTTTGTATCTGTATATATAATTTCATTCAATTTCATATCACCTATCTGGGGTGAGAAAAATAAAGATATTTTGTTTTCTATACAATACAATGGTAAATCACATATCAACAGAGAAAAGACTGGTCTGGTCCATTTAACTGCTAGGACTTGTTTTCTAAATATCTATTGTAAATATTTGCTATCATTCTTGTTAACCCAATGTTTCCAGATGAGCAGGAAACTTTACAGTACCCTAGTCTTTTGTTATAGTGAACAGGAACTCTGAGGAGGTCTCTGGGAGGAGCTGATCTCTCCTCAGAGGACACAGAGGCTGACCTGGGATTTTGGATCGCTCTCGTCGAGTGACTGCTGTGTGATCGTGGGTCATCTGCCACAGCCTGAGGTCCATCTCAGGGAATGACCCGGACCAAACTGAGGGCGATCCTTTGATCCTGGCTCTTCCTCTTAGAGCAGAGGTCATGTGACCACAGCAGTGCTCTGCCCTGACCTCAGGGGGCAGCATCCCCCACTCTCTGCGCATTGTCAACAATGCATGGTTTTGCTCCAGTCAGACAGGGGGACTGCAACAGTACTGAACCAGAAACAAGCTCGGATCCAGAGAATGGATCCAGACCACCTGAGAGCTGATCTCTGATCAGTGATGTCATAGAGGCCCCTCAGAAGGACGCGCACTTGCAAAATTGTCAAGCACGCTCAGCCCGTCTGAGACTCCCGTGTTAAAATAATCCACTGATCAAATAATCCGTCTCTGATGGTCTGTATCCGGTCTCTTGTCCAGTTTCTGGTTCAGTCTTGGTTTAGTCTCCCTATCTGACCAGAACAAAATCTCTCCAAAACCAGGACCATAGTAGACGATGCGCAGAGAGCCAGCCGTGGTGAGCCTAGGTCTGTCCGTGGTCTGGACAGAGCAGTGCTGTGATTACATGCCTTCTTCTCCAAGAGTGAGGGTGTCCAAACCCCCAAGATCATGGGGGTTTGGATCACACCCTGTGATGGACCATGGGCGGTGGCAGATGACCAATGACCCCAGAGCGGTTCAAAAGGTGCCAGACCCCGCTCTGCAGCGAGTCCCCCGCTGAAGCGGCACCAAACCTGGGTCGGTCTCTCGTGTTCCTCCCACAGAGAGATCAGCTCTTCCAAAAGCCGCCTGACTAAAACAAAAGACTGTCAGTTTTTGGTTTCAATTTATGTTTCAAATTTTCAAACAACCCATGAGTTCACGGACCCAGGAACATTGTTATAGTCTACAATCAAAAGAAGTAAAACTTACCTTTGGTTCAGGCTCTGACTTACCTGTTTTCCCTGCTCGTAATCTACTCACATATGTTCAAAATCAAATGCGTCTTTATTTAATAAGAAAGGTTACAAAAAAGTGTTTTCTTTACAGGCCTTCAAAATATTTACTTTTGAAGACTTGACTCTTTAGGCGCCTATCTGGGAATCCAAGCTGCTTTCAATTCAGCCTGCTTTAAAACAAAGAAAGATCGCTCACCGATCATCTGTACTTCCAACTATTTCCTTGAGAAAGTTTTTTGGATTGAGAATTCTCAATCCAAAGAACTTTCTCAAGGAAATAAAAGCTCAGCCGCGAGTTAGAGATGACTTGTGGGTGTGGTTAGACGCCCCCAGATCCTAAGGCTAACTCATTAACACTCATTAAGTCTGCTGAGGTGTGGTTGGTCTAACGATCCAGCTCATTAGCACATAACAGACCTGATCGTTAGCCCTAGCAGGGTCGTTAGACCTGCACCCAACCACATCTTAGCAGACTTTAGATGTGTTAATGAGTTAGCCAAAATTCTTTGGATTGAGAACGAAACATAAAAAAACCGGCTAGCTGAAGTACAAACGTACGACTGAGAGCTTTCACCGCGAGTGCCAAAAGTTCCTGATTTAACCTTGGATTTTAACGTTTTAAGGTGTTTGATTTTGATTCAAGATGGAGTGAAAACCAGAGCCTGACCAGTGGGATTTAGACTGGTTAGCTTAGTACAGCGCTAACCACGGATGCTCCTGTATCTCCTGCAGTGTCGGGCGTTTCACTGGGTCCTTCGCTAAACACCTTGACAGAAGGTCACGAAGATCTGCAGAGAGACAAGATCATGTTTGATTAATGATTACTTTTTAAACATAGACACATTAAAACTGGGGTACCAACAGTTTTGATATCTGTACTAAAATCCATCCAAACTAATTTTGATTGGGGGAAAGTTGTTTTCTTTTATTATCATTTGAATGTATATTTTCACCACAATTGCTGCAAGTTACCGCGATAAAGGACCACTAAAAATGGTCTTGCGGGCCAGATTTAGTCCACCGGCCTGAGTTTGACATGCCTGATGGAAGTAGTTCTTCCCCCTAAAAACTGCTCATTTCTATCACTATTTTTCTCACACATGCATTTTTGGCCTCTGTCACATCTTTAGGCTGGAATTTTCAAACTGAAAAGTGAAAAAAGAGAGGACCACCCTCACTCAGTCAGCTCTCAGCCCAGAGAATCACATAGTGACTCTCAGGGCTCTTTCTTTTAAGTATGCAAAAGATAGCTAATATGTTTCCAAACGTTCTACGTATTACTTGTACAAGACTCTGAATATTGGGATAAGCACAATGTATTATTTAGGAAATAAAGTTAGAGGCCTCAGCTTTAAGTTAGTGTTCATTGTACAGTCTGCCAAGTGAAGGACACAAGTGCAGAGTCAACACCCGATAATGTAAGTGATGGAAGAAAAGATCTTCATTTTGAATTTCAACTCAAAGAGCAAATATTATGCATACTTGGTGTTAATTTAGGCATTTTATTTTAATCTTGAAAATATTAATTCGAGAGTTAAATAATTTCTCTAGTTTAAAATCTGTATTTTATATTCAAAGTGAAGGCAAGCGGGCTGTTATTATCATTTGACTGTAGAAATATTATATATATGGTAAAATGAAAAAAAAAAAATCTGCACTCTGAAAACTGTTATTTAATATAAAGTTGTGTCGACGCGTTTCGACAACAGTCTTCCTCACTGTTCAAGTATAATATATTAACTTTGTAGAAAAAAAAATATTATACCAGATATCTCAAGCCAGTTATTAGCACCTGTCAGTATTATTCACTATTTTCTATCCAGTGCAGCACTTCTGCAATTCCTTCTAGAGCCCTGCACTTGAGCCCTTGGCCCGAGGGCCCCGACGGCCCGACAGCCCGAGGGCCGGGCTTCGGGCCGATGACCGCATAATGACCTCGGACACGGGCCGGGCTCGGGCTCTTCATTTTCAGAGCGGCAGAATACATTTACGAACGCACCCACTGAATATAGCGTTCTATCACGCTGTAGTGTTTGTTGTTCTGTGTAGTGTTGTCATTGACGGCACATAGCATTACTTATGTAATGTGTAGATGTGTTGCAGCATCGGGGGCATCATACAGATGCGGCCGTTCACTCTGCACCCCTCCGCACACACAGAACTCATTGCAACACATCACTACCATGTATAACTCCGCCCTCTAGCTAAGTCTGCGTTCATATCAGTGCGCGGCACTATATACTACGCTAAAACATTGTTATGGGAGGTTACAAAAAAAAAAAAAAAGGCGGGCTTGATGCGGGTTTCGGGCCTGAAAATTCAGAAACCATATCGGGCCGGGCCGGGCTGGGGCGCCACCCCCTCGGGCCAGGGCCGGGCGCGGGCCCAGATAATAGGCCCGTGCAGGGCTCTAATTCCTTCACTCGACTATACATTTAATTTATAGTTGAGTTCATATATACTGTATATATATATGTATATATATATAAACTCATGTCTCAGTCATTGTACATCTAAAATGTTATAATATGGTTTAAAAACTAAAAACAAACTCCTTTTTTGCATACTATCTTTCAAGAAAACCAATTCAAACTTGATTAAAGTAGTCCTACTGACAAATCTTTCCTGACTTTTTCAGTGTAGATACATATTTTTAAAGTGTTGCCCAGAAAATACCCACCACACTGCAAAAAGTGATGACAACATCGCAAAAAATTGCAAAAAATTGCAAAAAATTGGCAAAATTTGAGAATTTTGACTGCCTTACAACAAGTTACACAAATGGGAACAAACAAAACTAAAAAGATGCAATAAATGTCTCTCTCTGAGAAAATAAAGCAACAGTTCTAGAAATAAGACTAAATGGATTTGTCCCACTGGAGAATCTTGTTTTAAGACAGTCAGAATTAACTCAAATTAAAACACTAGATTCCAAGATTTATAACCTCATATTTCATCATTTTTGGCAATGCAGTGTGACGTGTGAACACAGAGCTAGTGTCTACAGTTTGAAATGTTCTGCTAAAAGTGAGAATTACCAAAGGGGATACTCTTCGAGAGGGGCACCGCTCGCAAGGAGCCGATGGAGCTCTCTCGGACCAGAGGCCTCTTGTTGTAGAGCATTATGTGGAGCACCAGCCCCAGCTGCCACACTGTGGTGGGGATAGCCGAGATGGAGTGTTCTCTGAACCACTCCGGGCACATGAACGATGGCGTGCCTGCAACACAAACCAACACAGTCAACACTAAAAACATGAAACACAAAACACAAAGAATCCATCACACAAAAACACACAACATATGAAGAAATTCTTAAACTTTCTCCATAAATTTCTCCAAAAAACAACCCCATGTTGTAAACAGAGACTTTGATATTTTAACACAAGTTTAATTTTAACAGACAGTTTTTACCAGATTTATTAAAAGTAAGTAATTTACAAGGTATTCACCCCAACCCTAACCCTAACGTGACTGACTTAAATTGTCAACACTAGTAAAAGTGAAATGAGTAATGAGTAGTGATAATAAATAAACTTCTAAAACTACTAAACAACTAAATAAAAATAGGTTAAAAAAATCTAGCCATAACTATTTTATGGTATGGTGCAAACTAAGTGCCAGAAAAACAGACAGCTAGATCTCCTTGGTGGAGGTCATCTTGATTCAGTAATTGTGGAGGTGCGGTGCTTTACATTGTGGGTCCGTAAACTTCTCTCCCGGTGTGAAAATGGAGCTGATTCCAAAGTCGATGAACTTGGCCCTGGTTTCTCCACTGCCAAACTCCAGAAGGATATTTGAAGGTTTGATGTCTCTGTGGAAGATGTTCTTTTCTTCCATTTCAATTGCGTTCTAAACCAACTGACGGAATATTGACTAAAACAGAAAGAACAAATCATTATACTTCATTTAACATAGTCTTTAAGTTTGAATGGTGAGACGTGCGTGGAGTCCTTAAAGACCCTTCTAGTGTTTGCAAACAGAATGCCTGTATTCTGAACGCTGGTATCACTCTTCACTTTGTCAATAGCTGTTTTATAGAGTGGACCATTGCACTTTACAAACCAGTGCTGCATTGGGAAATAACCTGCAGTTATAGCTGCTTCTACAACAAGCCTTATTAAAAAACTTGTGGCACTGAGCTTGGTTCTGAATTATAAATTATTCAGAACACTGACTTTGACATTTGTATATGACTATTTGGAAAACTTCAGGTCTGTGTGTATATCAGATATTAACACTAGGAGCGCCCCTAGCGGTCAACTGACCGTCACTCACTTTAATATGCTAATTAGTGTATTCAAAACAAAACGCCAGAAGTTGAAATTTTATGACTTTTACTAGGTACTTGTTGTTTATATTTTTGTGTGTTTTGGTTTTGGAAAAAGTAAAGAAAACAAGATTTACACGCATTTTAACTTTTCTAAACCACAGCCCTTTCTGCTGCCCCATGGAGATACATGGCGCAGGGGCGACCGTTGTCATAGTAACCTTTCCCGGGGGTTTTTCGCGCCTTATAAAAATGTATCAATATGTTGTCATTAGACTCTAAAGGGACTTTTTTATTATTATTTGGGAGAGAGGGAGGAGTACAAAATGAATAGAGCTGCAAGTACACGGTATGAAGCCCTGACAGTGCTTCAAGACATTGAATGAGAACAGTCTGACGGAGGTGAGAGATGTCACATTTTGAGGTAGAAAGTGACAGCGGGGAGAACACCTATAATATTCTAAATCTGAACGTAAACCCATAGTGCATTCACGGCACGGACAGCAGTGTTGTAACAAGTCCAGAAGCAATAACGCATATGAGCGTGCGTAATGCCAGCCATACGCAGGTGTCTGTGTGCGCGCTGTCGCTCCATTCTGCCTTTTCATTCATCATCAATTACATTATTATATTTATACATACAAGAAGGCAATACAGCAGAATACAATATCGCAATAAAATAGAACAATTAGATGAACTATCAAACCAGAGTGCAGAGAGAGCGCTGTGAGGCCTCTCGTCACCCGCGGACACCTGCAGGAGGAGAGCGACTGTGGGGCATGAAGCGGCCCTCATTATCAATAAGGATATCATTCTTATTTCATTCAGATAACGCTGTTTGTTATTCTGCACAGCGCGCACTGCAAGGCAATGATTATAATGTTGTTCTGAGCATAAAGAGCACTGCTTGTCTCAAATAAATACAAATATATATATATACATATATTTGTCTTTCTAACGTGACGCGTGTAAAATTGAAGATTGTACATTGGCGATGGTAGCCTAGCTGATGATCTTGTGTCAATACGAATATTATTATTATCTAGATAATATTTCCCACGGTGATTTCGGCCTCTAAAAAGAAAACAGTCTGGAGATGACGTAAGAAGTAGACGCATATAGCAGCGCGAAGACGTTATGGTCCCGTGCTTTTCTAAACTATAATTTATATTGTTTGAATTTACATATTGTTATTGAGTCAAATATAACATATAGTGACCGACCTTTTAGGTGTTTGCAAAGTTACAAAATAAATCCAGCCTGAAAAGTCATCGTAATTTTGATGGATCAGTACACGCACAATGTGTCGTCTTAGTCTTTTATTTTGGCTAGAATTACAATTACTTATCATATTTAGACAAATAATTTACACAGTTTCATTATGATCACGATTCCTTTGCAACATCAAGTTCTGGTTTAGTGAACAATCAATTTGGCAAAAGGCTGTATCAGCGCAAAATACATAGCGGTCAACTGACCGCAGGGAGCGGTGCAAGGTATGTTTAGAGCACGGCGGTCCTAGTGTTAATCAATACTAAAACAATCATTTTATTATTTTCTTTTAGATAAAGTGTTTTAAAGTCAGGTATCACAACTTTAAACAGTGTGTCTTACTTTTGCCTCATCAGCGTCTAAGCTATTCTCTGCTTTTGAGAGGAGGTAATCCCTTAAAAACCCTATATGCCCGCGTGCATCGGCACCGATGCACGCGCACATGTTTTACAAATGATCAATTTACTCGCGAACGGTAAAACGTAGCAACTTACTTTTTTTCCCTCTGTGAAGTACGTATTCAGGGCTTTCCGAAACTAGTTTTGATTTGTCTGTGCGATGCACGTAGGATAAACTACGTTTGTCTGAAAGTCCGTGTCCAAAGCGTGACCCGTGAGGTACAAACAGCTGTGAGATACAAACACACGGGGACTGCCAAAGATCGTCAGAGAGTGAGATCTCTCACTCCTCTGTCTGTACTTGTTGTCCCACAGTTGAAACTACAGCTGCGATTGCAATAACCGGCTGAAGAGTGCGCATTATTGATAAAGACGATAATAAATACAGTAAAATTACATTATGTGTATATGATGTATATAAATATATGTATTATATAAATAATTGATGTTTTTTTTTTTTTTTTGGCTCAGTTTCTTATGTTTTACGTTTTTTACAGCTGTACTACAGAAGCAACCCCAGCATTATAGACAAACTGCTTCAGGAAGGGCATCAGGAGTACAGAGTTTTTTGCTTTTATAGTGGAATTTTGTAAAAAGTATAATAGTTAGAGATTCAATTTTTTTCCCCATTATCCCCAAGACCATAAATAACATTTCTATGCAGTGTAAAAAGTTGTTTATAGCATTTCATTGTGTTTTTTCAATACATTTTTGTTAAATTGATTTTCCGTTTGATTTTTTTCTTTGTCTTCATGATTCCACAATTTGTATATAATTCATATGACAGCTTTACAATATAAATATTCTAAAACCCCAGGTTGTACTGAAAAAAACAAAGTATACTGCTTGACTCTGCATCAAAAGATGACTGTTTTATGAACAATTTTACACAAAGAAAACCAGGCGAGGAAAGTTCCCCAAAATGAACCATGTGCATAGAGCAGGGGTGTCATTCATACGGCCCGCCAAGAGATTTGACACGGCCCGCGGCTCATTTATGTAAAAATATAATAATAATACATTTTGAAAAGCCGCTCCGCGACGCGAGGCTCCGCGACGCGACGCCGCAGCGCCGCGCTCAGGGGTGAGTCCAGTGAGTCTGTAGTGGCTCCACCAGAGCGGTGCTGGAGGAATAACTTATCTTAAACTACAAGACTCGGCGAAAAATACGGCACTTTGAGCGGAGAATTGAGAAAAAAGAAGATAAACCTGTCTGGCCCTGAAGACACAGCAGTCTGTTTGTGCCCAGAGCGAGAGGTTAGTTCTGCTGCTGTAAAGGGAAGCTACCTGTGCTAACAACATTAGCATTAGCATTAGCATCGCAGCCGCACAGTGAGAGAGAGTTTGTTAAAACTCTCACAGGCTGCAGACATGGTCTGAGAAACCACTCGCTTTTACCAACATGTTGCCATTGATAAGAGACTGATGTTACTGATGTCACATATTAATTTGTGGTGTTACTGAAACTATCAGAGGAGTTTTGAGCGCTGCTGCTGGTGCTGCTGCTGGTTCTGCTGTTGTTGCTGGTGTGTTGGACAGTGTGGACCGGTACCGATGGTAAAAACAGGTGTAGTGACAAAGCTGCAAATGGAGGTGATGATTTTTGGACATTTGACTGTATTTTACACAGAGACACTGCTGCAGTCGTTAAGAATGGATCACGTTATGGAAGTTGTTTTATTCATTTCAAATGAATCATGGTCAGTTTGATGCTTTCTCTGTGATAATAACATAACCATGGACTGTACCACACTGAAGATGGTTAATGTGATAATAACATAACCATGGACTGTACCACACTGAAGATGGTTAATGTGATAATAACATAACCATGGACCTTACACACTGAAGATGGTTAATGTGATAATAACATAACCATGGACCTTACACACTGAAGATGGTTAATGTGATAATAACATAACCATGGACCTGACCACACTGAAGAAGGTTAATGTGATAATAACATAACCATGGACCTGACCACACTGAAGAAGGTTAATGTGATAATAACATAACCATGGACCTGACCACACTGAAGATGGTTAATGTGATAATAACATAACCATGGACCTGACCACACTGAAGATGGTTAATGTGATAATAACATAACCATGGACCTTACCACACTGAAGATGGTTAATGTGATAATAACATAACCATGGACCTTACACACTGAAGATGGTTAATGTGATAATAACATAACCATGGACCTTACACACTGAAGATGGTTAATGTGATAATAACATAACCATGGACCTGACCACACTGAAGATGGTTAATGTGATAATAACATAACCATGGACCTTACCACACTGAAGAAGGTTAATGTGATAATAACATAACCATGGACCTGACCACACTGAAGATGGTTAATGTGATAATAACATAACCATGGACCTGACCACACTGAAGAAGGTTAATGTGATAATAACATAACCATGGACCTGACCACACTGAAGATGGTTAATGTGATAATAACATAACCATGGACCTTACACACTGAAGATGGTTAATGTGATAATAACATAACCATGGACCTTACACACTGAAGATGGTTAATGTGATAATAACATAACCATGGACCTGACCACACTGAAGAAGGTTAATGTGATAATAACATAACCATGGACCTGACCACACTGAAGATGGTTAATGTGATAATAACATAACCATGGACCTGACCACACTGAAGAAGGTTAATGTGATAATAACATAACCATGGACCTGACCACACTGAAGATGGTTAATGTGATAATAACATAACCATGGACCTTACCACACTGAAGATGGTTAAGCTGAGGTGCTGTGTTAAAGTGCTTTTTTCTATCTACCTACTTTACCTTTGTGTTTTCTCTGTAATGAGCCTTAAAACAAAGCTAACATACAGATATTAATATACA